GCTGGTAGTGGTTAACAATGAGAAGTATTGACAGTGACAATGGAAATAAGATATACACTTATTTAAACTTGTCTGACTAAATTACCCACCCCACCTCATCCCCAAAACTCTTTCTGTTGCACCACACCAAGTGGACTCCACCTGACCCCATCCAACCCCACCAAATCCACACTCCACCAAATACCCATCCAACCCCACCAAAGTCCAACTCCACCTCATCCCTTATGCAACCCACCAAAGCACATCACTCAGGCACCACAAAGGAAAAAGGCACTTGGTTGGGCAGCGTTCTATGAACATTTCCCTGAGGAGGTGATGGATCCCTGAGTGATCAGAAATAGAATTTTCATCAGGGGAGCCACAGTGGATAGCCGCCAGTGCAGATCAGTAATTCCTGATCACAGAAGTTAGGAAACCCAAAGGGAAGAGGTGCATAAAGAAGTCTGTCACCAGGGAAAGAGACCCCTTAGTCGGATCCATAGCATACCCTCTCCACCAAGAGGTGAAATGTCAAATTCGGCTGTTGTAGATTTTCCTTTAACGGGTGGCTTGAGGACGAGACTCGGTTGATTGGTGAAAGGATTCTTCCGAGCGCTGACTTCACTTTCCAGGAGACTAGAAAACTGGCTCCCAAAACGGTCCTTGGAAAACAGGGCAAAACCTTAAGTTCAGAGTTAACTGACTCATGGGGAATATTCAGGGCTTGAATCACAGATTCCCTACGAGACATCAAAGCTTGGAGAGAAACATGGGCAAACTACTCAAGGCCCATGATCAGAGAGTCATCAAGACAATGGAAAGCCACAGAGACAAACTAAGGGAAATATCTAATTCCTCCTTACAAGCATGAGACAGAAATTCACTTGGGTAATTCCTGTCAAACAAAATGAGTCACCTGCGGACTCAACTATGCTCCAGAAGGCCATTAGAGGACCGTAGAGGGGCCAACGGTGCTCGAAGCTCAAAGAGGACCCATGGGCATGAAGTGGAGGGGCATGGATTTTTTCTAAAACCTGGAATGGGCCGGCAAGCTCCAACTGCTGCGAGTCATGAAGAAAACTCTATGAGCGAACTCGCATGCTCAACAGTACCATACTGGAGCAAAGAAGGGTATCGTACAGTCATACCCTGGAACAACAGAAAGGAAGAGAAAAGTAATCCCATGCACTGTCCTATTCTCAGAGTTCACAAAGACCGAACCCATTGCATAACTGTCCCTACAGACTCAGGCAATCCCTGGCTCATGATGCAAGCATAACAACTAGAAGGGGTTGAAGTACAAAAGATCTCCCGATCTGGGACCTAATGCACAGAAAACGGAGAAACTATACACCACAAGGAAGGCCAAATGAACAGTGGGAGAGAATATATACAGGTCTGATATTTAAATTGGCAAGAATAATGTGTAAGAAAAAAACAAACACTATGATCGTCGACAAATTTATCACAGAAACCAGAAGATATATACAAAAATTGAAACTAGAATATATAAAAGAATAAGGAGACAATGTTCTTCTCTCAAATTTTCTCTGGTAGATACACACAAATACAAAAAAAAACACCGACAGGTGAGGGGAAGCCAAGAGAAAGACCCATCTGGGGAAAGTCTTGGCAAGGGTCAAAGGACAGTCTACCAACCTGCACAAGACTAAAACAAAAACATAAAAAAAGGATTTCAAAATCAATTAGGGAACAGTCTTGCCATTCAGAATGAGAATGACCTTAGGGTAGAAAGATTAAAGGCATGATCAAGAAATGACACCGAAGCAAAGCTTAGCAAAGGAAAACTCTCAAAAAATATTGAAGCTGGACAAAACATTCCGTTAGTAATGGCGCTAAGAAAAAGAGAAAGATCATGGCGGCTGCTTCCGTGGCAGTTGAGCAAGTGAGGGCGCACTGTCGAGAGATCAAGAATTTAGCAAATGGAGTCATGGACTGGGAAATAATGCATATGTATTGGTAATTTGTGTAGGTTGTAGGCAGTAGACTTTATTATTCTTTACCATGGAAAAATACTCTTTTGAGGGAAAGAGCACCTTTTGTGCTTGTTCATCTGCTGACGGACCAGGAGGGTACGTTGTTCGCTCACTCAGAATGCCAAATAGTTCATGGACTTTGCACAAGATAAATTACAAGATCTTTCATTTTAACAGTTGAAAAGGCCACTCTGTTTTTTTTTCAATGTTTCTCAAGCAATTAACTCAAACATTAAACAAGTCAGTGGAATGCAACTGCAGTAAATTTCATTCCCTTAAATCAGCCAATCTTGTAAAATTATGACAAAAAACAACCAATGGTGTCACCTCCCTTTTGTGGATGCATAGGAAAAGCTTTCAAAATATTGGTTTAGTACTTGACTTAAACCACGCCTAACTGAAACTTGCAACTTACCTTTTCAAGTGCATATTCCTTGCTTGCCTGTGAGGAGATCTCAGATAGATCATCCAGATACTTTTCAAGGCCCATCTGCAACATCTCCAATAAAGGTGTTTCCTTCGTAGGGGTCATGTTAAAGCCAACCTGGGTATATCATCAGTGAACATGACACCATGATTACAGTCATTTGAAATATGTTTTTCCTATTGCTCATACCATTTTGCCTCCTCTGGAAGTACATTTCTTATGCATTAACCATATGCTGCCAGGAGTCCGGTTTCAGGCACATAGGCTTTATACACAGAACTGGGGAGCCCGAAACCGGACAAAAGAGCTGGGCCATGTGACAAAAGATTGTACTCGGAACAAAAGACAGAGTTGCTTGGAATTGCCAACATTTTTTTCTGTTGTCAATAGTGGAGGAAATCTGTCATTGTTTTGAAAGACTATACCACTGTTTGTTGCATTCAGCACAAGCGGATTACCACTGGGGACAGCACTCCAGTGTTGAGTGATACAATACCACTGCACGCTAATCTGGCCCCTATTGAAAAGATGTCAGCAGCGCACCAGGCCAGTTTCGGGAACAAAAGAAAATTGTGTAACACTGCACAACCTGGGCTCTTTTTACAAGGCGGCAGGCCTGACTAAAATACCCAGGCATCAATAGATGTTGCGTGTCAAATTAGAGTAGTCTCAACAGAGTCATCTGCATGGTTGTAAACGTCTAGTAAATGAAGTTATGAATTTTTCAGTTTTGCAAACATAACCCCAAAAAATGAAAAATCAGCACGCCTAGCAGAATCACCACAGATAAACGGCTCAGCAAGAAATGGTTAAACATATAACAATTGCATCCTCTTTAATACAACAATTACTGTGATGGTTTTCACTTAGAATTTGCTAAGCAATCTATATACCATTCACGTGCTAAAATCAGTAAGAGCCAAAATAGGTCAAGATTTGATTCTAACCTTTTTACTCATCATGTCCCAGTGTCTTTGTTTGATGCCAGGGTTACAAAGTGCTCCAATGAGTGGCATGTTCAGTTTGAATTTCTCCAGCTTAGCTTTGATAGTGACCGATGCCCTCATTGGCCCCATCATGTCAGTGCTACCTGTGAAGATCTTAGTAAGCTTGTAACTTGTCTTCCACAGAGATTGCACCTGGCAAAGTAGATCAAACTTACACTTAATAATTCAACCAAAAAAAATTATTTGGAGATATTAATAAAATCATCAACTGAAAGCTTACATCATACATGTACATTATTAACAGTGATCGTTAATGTACAACAAAACAGAGTTTCACTGATCAGTTCCACACAATATGCAGAACAGACGCAGAGAGTCAGAAAAATTGGATAAGCTTCCTATTTGCCAACTGTGTGTGTCAAGCTGCCAGAGTGGGAACACTCAAACACACATACTGGCATGACTTCAAACTAAAACTGGCATTCTGCATTTTGTCCATTTTGTCTTTTGGCCTAAAAACAATTACATCCCTGCTGTCAACAAAACAAAAGGCCGTGAAAAAAAATTGAACTGTACAACCACCTAAAAAAATGCATTTCACACAATGGTTTTCGGTTTCGGATGCCAATTTTTTTGTGGAATGATAATTAGGCACCTTTTTTCTGCAACTCTCTACATCTCTCACCTTGTATGCTGTTGATATTCATTATGACCATATGGATAATACGCATATTGAACATTGCATTACATTAGGGACTCAGTCTCGAGGGTCTCAACTACATACTAGCTAAACTACAGTTAATCAAGTTGAACTGAGATGGATTAACAGTTGAATAAATAGAACCAGATCAAGGTAATTCAAAACTTCCAACAATATCTATAATAAGACCAGTTATTGTACATGAGCTCATGGCAGGGATAGGTAGAGGCAGTGGCGGCACCAGACCTCGGTGGCTGTGGGTGGGACAAGACAGAATCAGATAGTTGCATATGATCCTTAATTTTTCCTGGTTTATGATGTGGAGTCGTAAAATGACAAGGTCGATCACCCTGTCATAATATTTGCACATTTTTGTGGGTGCAAACATGGGTGCAAGCGGCTTTTCAGTGGATACATTTGCACCCACATGACACCACTGGGTTGAGGTGGTAGTCACACGTACATCATTGCACACAAGCAAGTCAGTCCACATGTCAATCCATTAAAAGCAGTGGGAAAGGCCAAAAATCACTTCTTTTAGGAATCAAAATTAGATTGATAAAAACTAATAATACGGCGGAACATTATAGAGCAAGGTGATGCATGTCAAAGTAATTGAATTCAACTGAATCTGGTTGAAGCTCATTCAAATTGGAGAAAATTTAAATGAAGATGTACCTCTTCCTCAACCAGTTCAGCATCCACTTCCAGCAAGGGTCCATTCATCCAGTTATCATATTGCTGATGAAACTGAACAGCAGTCTGCCAAAGCTTATAAAAAGGTTCCTTCATCTCCCGGATGTGATCCAGTAGGGCATATGGGCTGATTTGACCGATGTCTAGAAGCTTCTCTTCAAGATTTATACTCACTTTCTGTCAGTTAAAAAAAAATCTCACAATCTCACAAAATTATGATTTACTTATGTTTCTCACAACTGAAAAAGTTTAGAGCTTAGAAAGAACAGAAAACCTTAAAAAATTCCAAACCTGTAATATAAACACGAAAACTTAGTTACACTGGTGTACTTGTACCGGGCCTTTCTTTCCAAGTTTGAAATCAAACTCGAAGGAGAAAAGTGTTACAGTAAAATACCCAAGATAACAAATCTTTATTTAGGTTTTTAATAGGGGTTTGGTTTGTTTTATTCTTTCCTAATAACTGACCTCTTCATAAAATTCATCCAGGATTCTCTGAATTTCATTAAGCTTCAGCAGGTAGTCTTGAGCCTCTGACATCCTATCCTTGGTCTTGAATCCTTTGACAATCTCTAGCACATCCTGTAGCTTGGCCTGGAACTTACGCTGTTTGTCCAACAACTTAGACACAGCAATGTCATGTTCTTTCTGAAGTTTTGTCTCACTGCAATTGCAAGACAAGATTATCAGCACTTAATGATTCATTGAAAAGCTGTCGAAACATGGCAAAATACAACAGCTGACCAAATTTTGTGTCAATTTAAACATTTATTTTAATATGCACTGTATACTCTGCAAGGCCCAATTTCACAGAGCTGCTTAAGCGTAAGCAAATTTTTCTGCTTACTTTAGCACAGCAATTGTACTAAACATAAACGTATTTCACCAGCGTTTGCTAAGTTAAGCACAGAAAAAAGTTACGCACGCATCTTTTTTAATTTAATATCATCTGCTTAAGCAAAATCTAGCTTTGTGAAAAGTAAAAAAATGGTGGACAAAAGTAAAGTTGTTTTACTTCATACTTTGGCATGAATGCAAATTTGGTAAGTTTTGATATTTTCTTTTAATTGTAGTGTATCTGTAGGAAATTCAAAAACTGTAGCACAATGTAAAGACAAATACAGGAACTTGCTTCAAGCCAGTAAATTTATCGTATTCCTGGAGTTGAAAACAATGTTATATGCGAGAGTGCATTCACAAATTGTGAGTTAAATAAAAAGGGTAAAGGACCTTAGATTTTTGCATTTTAATTGTTTTCATCAGCATTTAAACTTGAATGCAGCTTTAGCATTTAAAGCCATACTAGTAATGTCAAGCTTTTCAACTCGGTCAATAGTAAATGAAATTCTACATATCTGTTAATGGTTAGTGGCCACGCACTGGCCCATTCAAAATTTCAAATGTGAATTCACTGAAACACAGAGTTAAGACTTGAATAAATTGTGCAGACCTTTTCATATTTGCAAAGTAAATTCTTTAATAATTATCTGAATCCGCCACTAACAACCTCTCAACATTTATTTCTGTTTTCCAGTTACGAAAAGGAAATGGCAAATTCAAGCAAGAGGAGATGGTTCATGTCCACCCCCAATGAGTCAGACACAGCAACTAATTGATGCCTCTCCATCCAAAGTAAGGGTTGAGGGGACTGGATACCCAATTGACACATTCTGTGCTAAGTGATATGTATCTAGACACAAAATAACAATATAACAGTTGATCAATAAAAACTCTTTCAATCTATAAAATCCACAGATAAATGTCCTCTTGTGCTTTTTCTGTTTTCAGTTGCAAAAACGGACATGGCAAATTCTGCAAATTCATGTAAAAGCTGTGTTTGTTAGAAAAACTACTGTCAACTGGTACATAAATCTCATACTTCTGATATATTTCTCAATCCTAATTCAGGTTAATTTAGACATGTTCATTGCTCATGTTCATAGAACTGAAGGCAGAGCTATCATTGTTGAAACAGATGTCTTCAATGGCATGTTATACAGTTGTATCTTCAGGCAAACTTGAATTCTCAGTTCGGATTGCTTGATCCACGATAATAAACAGTTTCACATATGACTGTGTTTCACTGTCCATGTCAAACTCTGCGTAATGCACTGTTCTTCAGCATCAACGCACTGTGCTATTTTTACGCTTAAAGCCAAACGCACAAACGCAAAGTTTACTGTAAATTCAAAGGTGGAACATTTGCATGCATATGCCCCTATAACTTCTTCGCTGTGCATTAAGTTTGCTTGAAATTTAATTTGTTATCACATTCAAGCTCTGTGGTATACGGCACACAGATATACTACATATTTTATTCAGTGTTCCACTTGCACTTATGTGATAACTAATAGTATGTACATTCATCTTGAGATGACATGACGATATCATCATTTGTTTGTAAATTAATCTTCCCGTTTCTGCTCTTCTTCCAATTTCTCCTCTTCTTCCACTTTCTCCTCTCTTTCTCCTCCTCTTCCTGTTTCTCCTCTTCTTCCTCTTTCTCCTCTTCTTCCTCTTTCTCCTCCTCTTCCCGTTTCTCCCCTTCTACCTCTTTCTCTTCCTCTTCCCGTTTCTCCTCTTCTTCCCCTTTCTCCTCTTCTTCCACTTTCTCCTCTTCTTCCACTTTCTCCTCCTCTTCCACTTTCTCCTCTTCTTCCTCTTTTTCCTCTTCTTCCTCTTTCTCCTCTTCCACTTCTTTCTCCTCCTCTGCCACTTTCTCCTCTTCTTCCTCTTTCTCCTCCTCTTCCCGTTTCTCCTCTTCTTCTTCTTTCTCCTCCTCTTCCTGTTTTTCCTCTTCCTCCTCTTTCTCCTCTTCCCGTTTCTCCTCTTTCTCCTCCTCTTCCCGTTTCTCCTCTTCTTCTACTTTCTCTTTCTCTTCTTGATTCTCCTCTTCTTCCTCTTTCTCCTCCTCTTCCCGTTTCTCCTCTTCTTCTTCTTTCTCCTCCTCTTCCCGTTTCTCCTCTTCTTCCTCTTTCTTCTCTTCCCGTTTCTCCTCTTTCTCCTCCTCTTCCAGTTTCTCCTCTTCTTCTACTTTCTCTTTCTCTTCTCAATTCTCCTCTTCTTCCTCTTTCTCCTCTTCTTCCACTTTCTCCTCTCTTTCTCCTCCTCTTCCCGTTTCTCCCCTTCTACCTCTTTCTCTTCCTCTTCCCGTTTCTCCTCTTCTTCCTCTTTCTCCTCCTCTTCCAGTTTCTCCCCTTCTACCTCTTTCTCTTCCTCTTCCCGTTTCTCCTCTTCTTCCCCTTTCTCCTCTTCTTCCACTTTCTCCTCTTCTTCCACTTTCTCCTCTTCTTCCTCTTTCTCCTCTTCTTCCTCTTTCTCCTCTTCTTCCTCTTTCTCCTCCTCTTCCCGTTTCTCCTCTTCTTCTTCTTTCTCCTCCTCTTCCTGTTTTTCCTCTTCCTCCTCTTTCTCGTCCTCTTCCCGTTTCTCCTCTTCTTCCTCTTTCTCCTTTTCTTCCTTTCTCATCTTCTTCCTTTCTCTCCTCTTCTTCCACTTTCTCCTCTTCTTCCATTTTTTCCTTTTCTTCCTCTTTTGCAAATTCTCACGAGCACCACGTCTCCAAAGTAATGTGGCCATTTTGATTGGAAGTCTTGCTTAAATACAAATTTGTGGACCTTAACCCTAACCCTCCTCAATCCTTCACCTGTTGGAGGACTGAAGAGGGTTAGGTTTAAGGCTGATTTTTGCTCGTTTATAACATGCTTAACAGTTGCTATGAAATGACGAGATCGTTAAGCACGCCTTTTAAGCACAAAATCGGCCGTTAAGCAGCGCTGTGAAATTGAGCCCAGATCTAATTGATAAGCTGATAGATGTAAAATAGCTGTAATGACAGACATGTAATTATTCACAAGGTTAACATCATTTACAGCCATTTTTGTTGTTTTAAACCAATCTCTGTAGAAATATTTGGCAGAAAAGAACTTCATAAATTCCAGCTTTCAGTACTCAATTAACTCATTGAAGGGAGAACTTTTTAAAAACTACTATCATTCCAAAAACAGGGATTCACTACTTTTACAATGCCCAGACATTTCTCCAACTGGTTATTTATTTAACACTCAACCTCTGACACAATTACAAATTCTAAATAATAAAATGTTAAACTTAAACTACTCATCTGATTAAAACTTTGGAAAACTTTGGTTCTTCTGATATCATGACACATTGTGCTAAGTGAAGTGCATGGATGTGAAGTGAAGTGAAGACAAGATACACCTTAGGGGTCTTACCTGTTTTTAATGATTGGTACAATCCTGGTGCTCCAGGTGAATGTGGTGTCATTGAGAATAAGGTCGTCTTTGGAGAGGGTGGCATAATCCATTAGGAAGAGGAGGTTACTTGCTGCGATTTCCAGTCTGGCCTAAAAACAGTTACACAGAAAAGAAACTCGTGAACAATTTATTATACCTGAATTCAGGACAAAGTAAATTTTCTGCTAAGAATAAACGCTCTTTGCATGTTTTTCCAAACTGAATGCTGACTCTTCCCATTTAAATAACAAGAATGTGTGGTCGTATGTTCATGACTTTAAACTTAATGATTACTTTTGCTTTTTGAATGGTGATTTTAATCATCAATATAATTCATGCTAAATTGAATGAACCTATGATTAAGTTGGGTGTCAATCACTTTGCCCATTTGCCACTTTGCCCACACAGTACTTAGCAGGTTAATAGTGCATAATAATGAGGACTGCATTACTAATTTAATGTGTACATGTCCTGTGACATACACTTGATGGGCGGAGCGAAGCGCTCTGTGTATGTAGTAAGCTTTTTGGTTTGCATGTGATCGATACAGGTGTGTAAGTGGACAGAGCTTGCTCTTTGTTGTTCTGCTAGTGTCAGCGAAGCTGTAAAGATGTAAGTTCTTGGTGCTCTTGCTGTGGCGTGTGTGGTGCTATAGGGCGTGGTGTATGCTGCTGTATGCTAGGCGTGGGGGGACTGTCTTTGTGTAGTAGTACACAGGTTGTACAGTCCAGCCATTCACTTGTGGGTGCATTGTAGTAGATTTGGGCTGGGCCCACAGTGCATGCATGCGGGCTGTATCATTACAGTGACACTGGGCTATGGAATGCGATACTGTTTAGGCAGTGCAACATTGAGGTGTGCAGTGCGACTTGGGTTCAGCATTGGTAATTGGTCTAATGTTTGGCAACATTGAACATGCATTGCTTGAGTTCATGTGATGCGACATTGGTTTGTGCACTGCATATAGGAGTTGCAGAAGGCGACACTGCATAGCATTGCAGAATGGTGTGACGCAGTGCAATATTAGCTGTGTATTGCTAATAGCCTCTCAAGACCACGCAAAGCAATAAAGCTTTACCCAATACAAATTATCCCAAATCACTTAATCAATTATTTGTTGAATGTCTGAATAAATCCCACTGTTGTTTGAGGTTACCAGCAATCTAATTGTCAGGAGTCCTTTTAGTTGTGTATTGCCGAATTGGCAGAGAGCATCACAGTGATCATAATTGGCAGTGTATTTCCATCAAAACAGATCTGCTCCCTTAGCCTTTGGGTCACTCTGGGTGATCTCTGGACCAAGGAGGAAAACGAGTTTACGCTAGAGTCAAGACCCCAACTGGTTTCAGACTTGACCCATCAAACTTATGTTAGACCTGGGGTAACAACCTGCCACACTATTTTGGAGAGGTGGTCAGTCCGCATGGCTTGTTTTGAACCACATGAACAGTGAACTTTCTATGCATTGTTTATACATAGCACATTATTGATTCATGTGAATTAGATTGCACAGTCCGTGGAGCCAGCTGACTAGAAATTGATCTGAGGTCTCTCTATTGCCATGAAGAGACTCTTGACTACTCGGCATGAATGATCCATACCGTCAGACGAATTGTGCTGCGGGACAGGGCGTCCGCAATTGTGTTGTTGGGCCCCACGATGTGGATCGCTTGCACGTTGATTGAGTGACTCATTGACCAGTGGAGGATCTCCAAGTCACAAAGCACAGCTGGGGGAGGGTATACCATCTTGATGATTAATGTATGCTACCACCACAGAGTTGTCCAAATGGACCAGGACATTTTCCCCTTTGATGTGCACGAGAAAGTGACGCAGGGCATTGGAGGAAGGGAGGTCCCCCATCCGAGGCATAACACATCGGTCGATACAGCTACCACGGGTTCAGCTCAACGGAAGGAAGCCTGGCAAGCAAGTGGTCCTTTCTTAGCCACCAGAGTAGGTGTTGACGAACATCCTCTGAAACGTGCACCGGAAGGTCAATATCATCTTAGGCCAATAGCAAGAGAGTAGATGGATCTGGAGTTGTCTCATGTGGAGTCTGCACCATGGCAAGAGGTCCACCATACTGGCCACCGGGCCAAGGAGACAGAGCCAGGTAAGGGCAGGAGGAGACTGCAATGAGCGGAAAAGAGAAATGCAGTTTTGAAGATTGGTGATTTGGAAGGCAATCGGAGTGATCGAATATTGGTGACAGATAGGTCAGACACTGGGATGTTCCCAGGTTCAACTTCTCCAGGTTGATGAGAAAGCCGAGACAGGAAGTGAGGTTGCAGGTGACGTGACTTGCGACTACGACCTCATTTCAAGTTCGACCCACAATCAGCCAGTCATCAAGATACTGGAAAATCATGAAGTCCAGCTGATGTAGGTAGACTGCTACTCTTGGCGATGCACATGAGGACTCTGGGTGACATGGGTCGAGGTTCAGTGTTGAGCCGACTGCTGAAGAGGAGAATGAAAGGATTGACACATTGAAAAAGTCTGGTCTGGTGTGGGCTTGGCTGGGAAGGAACTATGCTGCGGAGGTCATTGTGAAGTTGAAGGTGGTGTTTCACAGAGGGATATTTTCTTAGCCATATTGATCCGCTTAGCCTCAGTCTCCAGCATGTCGGCCCTACGCAGTTCCATGGGAACGGTCTGCTCCAGCAAGGGAATGCCTGGATGGTGGGATCCTATTTATTTGAGTGCAAAAAGGAAGGTACTTCAATAAGAAATAGAAATGAAATAAATCAAAGACCATGAAGAAAGACTCCATGTAGCCTAGATAAAGATGGTTTGACTTTATCGAGCAAGGAGTTATTGCCGGAAGACTAGCTACGTCAGAAGAAGTGTCTTTAGTGCCAGTCAATAATTCCATAAAATGCAAAACGATGTTGAAGCATTCTTGAAAAATTGACAATAAGCCTTGTACTATGTAACTACATGCATTGGGAGGAACGACAAATTGAGAGTCAAAAAAGGGAGTGTCCGAATATAGCAGATCGCTATCCCGTTATCCTAATTTATTCTCTGACTCAATGAGACCAAGCAATAATGAGAGAAATGGGCAGAGCCTTGTTGAGTACGCCTCTTAATTTCAATCATGCAGAGTGCAGTCAGAAGTGGTAACCATGGCACACTCGCAAGAAAAGCAAATGCTCACAGTAGGCCCACTTTTGTTGGACCTTGCAACAGTCATAGTATATAGACTTTGGACAAGCCTACATCAGAGGAACTTGAGTCCAGACAGTGTGGGGGGCATGGTGAGGCTGTGCGAAAGAATCTGTGGAGATCACACGTGATAGTGGGAATAGATGCGCAGATATAATACCAGGGAGCTCCTTGGAAAAGCCCAGGATTACTGGGTGAAAGTAGCTTGTAGAATCCACATCAGTGTAAAGTTCAGTGAATTCAGATGCTTGAGGCACGGATGTTGATTTGACTGGCGTAATCACCAAGGCAGGGACAGAGATGGAGGGGAGAGCCTGCCGAAGATCGATGTTGCCTGTTCATGCCTAGGTGCCCCCAATGACGAAGTTTCAGATGTCAGTGGGCTCAGGCGTGCAGTGGTCATGGGGGGGTGTTTGCAGGTGAGGCATGGACTCATCTACTGCTGGCCTTCGGGAAGAGGCAAGGGTGGTGAGAAGATCGCACACGGTAGGCTGGTCGTACGTAGTCTAGAGTCGTATTCACCGCGATGGCCCCAGAGAATGGAGGGAGGACACCAAGATAGCACACTTCTCTATTTTCCACCTAGGTGCCCCCTGCACAGAAGTCTCGGGTGCCAGCTGGTGGACTGATGCGTAGCGTAGCGATAGGGGCTGTTGTTCGAGTCATGGTCTGCGATGAGGATGCGTGACCTTGGCTCGCATTCACCAGAGGCCCCTTCGAAAATACAGGGCAGCCTAGTGGAGTGTAGTGTCTACTGCACGCCTAGATGCCCCAGTAGGCCTGAATGGGTGGACGACGGAGCGTCATACGGCAAACAGAGGTCTCAAATGTTGCTGTCTGCATTGTGCTAGTGATGGAGGACAGCGATTCATATTTAGTGACTGTTTGGGTAAACTGAGTGCAATGGACCAGGGGTACACACGCTGAAGTGCCACGTAGATTCCTCTGGGCCATGGAGGTTGGAAGGTGTGGTGAACTTGATGGATGGACCAGCGCAGGGAAACGTCCAATGGGCCACTCACTCAAGAATCCTGCTTGGCATAGCAGGCCAGCACTAGACCAAGGAGACAGGGCCATACCAGATGCTGGTGGTGCCCGTGCTCAAGCAGTCTTCCTCAGTTAACCACGGAGATTCCCCATCAGCTCCATGGGGCCGAATGAACCAGGGGGGTCTTTCCAGATCCTGGGGGATCCCCTGGCTGACGGCGAGGCTTTTTTCCTTGTCTAGTAGTAGCCAGAGAAACAAGGGAGTATGATGGATACCGACAGCGACCCCCTGAATTCAGTTGGCGAAGGCTTCATATTTATCAGTAGAATTGTCACGAGCACAGCTGGGATGAACCTCATAGTACCGACAGCAAGCACCTACAGCATACACACACAAGAAAAACCGAAGAAAAGAACACAAAAATAACACTCTTACCAACAACTAGAAGGAAATCCAGAAAGCCAACCTGTAGTTGTGGATTGTGGCAATTTGGAGGCCCGAGTGAAACAAATATATGAAGAAACCTGCGAGAGAACTCACAGAAGCTGTGGTTGGAGAAATATCGTGGCCGTCGCACCATCTAGTAAGATGTTGCAGTTGACTGTTGTAAATCTTACGGGTGGACAGTCATCATCCCTGGGCTGCCATGGATGCAGCATCCGCAGAAAGGCCTGACGCTTTGAAAGATCATTGGACAATACCAAGCACATCAAGCGAAGAGTGCGCGGTGCTGGACGGAGGGCCCCTGACCTGGGTTGACGAAGAATGTCCACCCTGGGCGGAAGGACCAGCGGTCATCAAACCAGGAGCATTGTCAGTCTCGGGAACCACAGTTGGCGAGGCCAGAACGAGGCGATGAGGAGGATCCGACATGGCTCTTGTTCTATCTTGGGTATGACCCGTGGAACGAGGAAGATTGGGGGAAAGGCGTATCCCACAAAGCTGGACCAGTTGATCCGTAGAGTGTCCGTCGCCAATGATCACAGGTGAGGAAACTTGGAGCAGAACGTCGGAAGATGAGTATTGTCAACCGATGCGAAGAGTTCGATGTAGGGACACTTGATCTGGCTGACCACGCGCGGATGAAGAGTCCACTCCGTCGGGTGGACAGTGCCCCGCGGGAGAGCGTCTGCTATGCTGTTGGTTGTTCCTGCTATGTGAACGGCCTGGAGGGCGATCCCCTGATTGCTTGCCCACATGAAGATCTGCCATGTAAGGGTGCAGAGTTGAGGGGAGCGAGTGCCACCTGGGTGGTTGATGTATGCCACCACTGTGGAGTTGTCGCTCTGGATTTGAAAAGAGAAGCCTTCTAAATGCTGCTGGAAGTGGCAAAGGGCATTGAACACTGCCTGAAGTTCCAGCAGGTTGATGTGTTTGATGCGAAAGGAAGAGTCCCAAACCCTGGATGCTTGGAATGGAGGAAGGGAGGCTCCCCATCTAAAAAGCAGCGCGTCCGTCATCACCATGGCATTCGGTCTCGGGGGAATGAAGGGACGACCAGTCGACAAGTGCTCGTTGATGGTCCACCACAGAAGGTGATTGCGCACATCTGATGGAAGAGGGACCAAGGTAGAAATCAGACGACGGGAGCCCAAGAACGTGGATCATGTCGCGCTCAAGAAGGCGGAGGCGGCCCTCCAGCTGAGTCAGACCAGCAACAGAGTCAATGTCATCATCCTTGAAGGAGAGGCCAAAAACCAGCAGAAGGGAGAACTGAGCTGTGTTCCAAATGGAGAGAGTCACCATGAACTGGGACCTGCTCCGGAGCCGGGTCTTGCTGGGGAGACGGTTCTGGTTGAAGAATAGAAGTCGCCTCGGTCTTCGACAACACCCCTTGCAAGGGAGGGACGGCCGGGAGGGGATCCGGGTCGGGTGCCCTCACTGCTGGCTGAGGCTTAGAGTCTATCTTGCGGGCGAGAAAAGTGAAGGCCTTGGAGAGGGACTGGAGGGTCACCATCCATGGAGGTGGACCCAGATCGGAGTAGCGTCTCTTCTTGGCCTTGGATGATGAAGAGGCCGAGGAAGATGACTTGGCCTTGTGCTTCTTAGTCTTCACAGGGGCGGGGGAGCTGGAGGTGGGGACTGTTGGGGGAAGGACCTGGCGGGGGTCCCCCGAGTGGTCGGTCATCTCCTGCAAGGAGCGTCCCAGATCAGGATCGGTGGCCTCATGACTGGAGTCCATCTGCAGGCCAGAGTTGCAGATGGGGTGTGGACGGAAGCCCCGGTGACGTAGCAGTCCAGAAAGGGGACCATCATCCGAGGCAAGGGGAGGCTGAGCACCATGCTGCATTACTGACTCGCCCGTGGCAGAAGCAGTGGAGCGTGGTGAACCTACTGTGGAACCCATTGCCTGCTTGGAGGGAGTTGACTGGCCCGACTTCCAAGCGGGTGCCGCCCGGTGAGCAGGAACTGGTGAGGGACCCGGGGCAGACGGCAGACAGTTGACCTACGAGCCCCACTGAGCCATCAGTTGGAAGAGTCGTTCGGGGATGCTGTAGGTAGCAATGCCCGGAACCTGCGGCATAGAGAAAGGAACAGGTCTTTTTTCCCTGACAATCATGATCAAGGGCATTGTTGCGGCACAGCACACTCAACCCAATCTATAGGCGTGTGGAGTGGGCACCAATGACCAAGGGTAGTAAAGTTGTCCAGCACACTCGGCACGGTAGGTAGGTGAGTGGAGTTGTCATCAGTGATCAAGGGCATTGTTACCGAACCGTTCGCTCAGCCTAATCAATTCCGGTAATGGTCATCAGCGATCAGGGTATTGTTGCGGCATAGCACGCTCAACCCCCGTCTATTCACTCCACTGGGTCTCTCCTCATTGAAGCCGCTTATCTGATAATGCAAAACCGCACCACAAAGGACCGGCGCACCCCCCATGCCCCGCACCGCGGCCGGACCCATATAGCGTTGGGCCATTGTTATTCGAATGCACGCAACACAATAGAGAACAAAGGTCAACGGCCATACCCCGCACAACGCATCACAGTAGGTCACACCAAACCTATATATGATGCACAGAAAGAAAGGGGTACAAAAGAACCACAAAAAACACAGCATGCAAAGAACGAAAAATAAAAATAAGCACTCTTTAATTCCCAAAAGATAAGAAATCACTCTTTATTTCGTAACAGGAATCAAGTCAAACTCAAAAAATGCCATAAAAGACACGTCCATAAACGATAGGGGCTGAGAAAAGAAGGATGGACATGGCAGCGGGACCGCAGTGCATTGAAGACGGTCAAGGGGCAGCGCGCATAATCAGGTCTTTCAGCGAACTGTAACAGGCACATGGGAAATTTACTTATGTAGGCTGGGCAGGGGTATGTGAATGCAGGAGACTTTCAAGTTTCATGTCATGTTTTCATCAAATATTGTTAAAATGACTTTCACTCATTTGCAAAAGTTTAAGACCACCCAGATCCAGAGATCCTTCACAATAATTCACTGGAGCACATGGTCTTCTTGACGGTTAGTTTTTCTTGGACGACCACACCTTTTCTGGTTAAAAAATGAGCCATCTCTTTCAAATTTTGAAGTGGCATTGTGCATGGTAGTCTTGCTGCAACCAGCCCCCTTGCTACTTTGACATTCAGAAGAGCCCTCTTGATGGAGGGTCACTTTTGGGGCTATTTGAACCTGACTTACTGGCTTTTTTACCAATGCTGCAGTAAAGATAAATGCCATACAAGACCTGTCTTGGCAAAAATTTTCATTTAAATGGGCTAATACATGTAGCACTACTTTCATGTTATGGACCACAGTAGTAAACATGTTGTGTAATTATGTGATGAGACAAAGGAACGCAGGCCCATTGACGGAAATACCCATAAAATTCTCGTCTTTAACTCTTGCAAATGACTGCAGTGACTGAACAGAAAGAATCTTGAATTCATATGTCTTTTTTTTTTAAGAGGTCAAGCTCTAGATGTACTTGATACTGTCAAAAGATACTCGACCCTCCCTAGACTTTGTAAATGTACATACAAAAAAAGGAATGTTTTGCTGCATCATGGCCTGTTTGACCTTTGACAACCCAGATAGTGCGCCCTCTTTTTCAATCGATATTCATGAGCCCCTCCACGGAATGGCGACACTCCAGGATTTTTCTCTTAGGATCAAGGTTTCTCGAAAGAAAATTGGTCATATTGAATGACGTATGAAAAACAATGAAGTCCGAGCCATAAAATACGATTCATGATGAAAATCTATGCACAGAGTTAACAATTTAATGAAATTTCAGCAGGGATATCTCCAAAATAAACGGCAAAATGAACATCGTGCATGGAATTTTCAAGCACTACATATGACAGCATTCTGAAACATCACACATTTTTTGTCAAAATTCTTGAACGTCATCAAAATTCTGTCAAATATGTCATTAACAAACATATCGTACTCTTTATACATTTTTGATGCAGCCAAACTTAAGGATAATTCTCAGTGGTTGATAGGTAAAATACATGGCAGTTATGCTGGTATATTGACAGTGATTATAAACGGTAAGAGAATAAAGACAGCCAAACATTTCTCAATGTCAAATTTGTGCTCTTTCTTCATGGCTTATTTGTTTTTGAAGTTAATTATTAGGTGCTTTAAAATACATCAGTTGAAAAATACACTGAATTCTTCTTCTTCTTGAGAGAGTTTTGAAATCAAGTCCTCTGGTGCAACACACTTTGACGTAAAACTTCAAATGAATTCACTTGATTTGCACTGGTAGCCAACCAAATGTACACATTATGCCTAATTATCCCAAAATAATCATTTTTATAAATGTGAAGGTGCTAATTTGTATTTTACATGATCAAAGTCACTATTTTAGAAGTTTTTAAAAAAATAGCATTTGGAGTTTCATTTTTGTCCATTCTATGAAGAACATGCCATAAGATGTTCTTTACAGTAGTGATAACATTGGAGTAGTGCTATGCGCCCATTTGTATCAATTTTGTTGCAAAGGCAGGTCTTGACATTTTATCTGTAAGGCAGCATGGGTAAAAAAACGCCAGTCTGAGTAATCAGAAATAAAGGAGGGAGCACTGAATATTAGACTTTAACATTTCAAATCATGGAAATGTAGTCAAATAGCTGTTTAACCAAGATACTAAGGTTACACATTGAAAATACATGTAAGTTGCCATGATTGATTGGTTTATTTTGTATGGGTGGTCCTAAACTTTGCAAATGACTGCAGAGTACCAAAGTGAATATGTCACATGCACAAGGCACTAGCGCACAAACCAGCACGTAAACTATTATGCGCATGCTCTATTTGTTTGCACTACACTTCCTAGTTCAAAATGACATCACACCTTGTACTCTATAAGAAATTTGAAGCTTCATATGTACCTTCAGCTGTAACAGCTCCCCAACCCACAATCCATCCACATATTCCTGCAGGGAGACGAGCTGGTGTGTGGACTCTGATTGTTGAGTAATCTTCCTGACAATGTTGTCATACTGAGAGCAGATGTCACGGTTGAACTTGCGGCTGGTGTTAACAATCTTGGTAATCATGATGTTTGCAAGGTCATCAGCTCGAGCTATCAGCCACTAGAACACACACACATACAAAATTTTGCAAATTCTACTATACAAATACGACCATTTGCCAAAATCAGGTGGACCATTTCCTGAACAAATAAATGTTCTTCACAATGGATTTTAAGAAAAGTGCTTATGGGTAAACATTTGTTTACAGTTAGCAGAGGAAATGGCTCACTACTGCAACTCTTCTTTCAAATGATCTCCATCTTAAAGTGCATAAATGACAAATCCGATAATGTCTAATGCCAGCCAACTATGCAGTAATTGTGCTAAGCCAGCAGTTGTGCAGAGGAGGGCCCTCAGAACATAAGAAAAATAATCTACATTGCAAAGAATACATGGTAAGCTGCTGTTGACTGAATTTCAGAGGGGGAATTTTAAAGCATTTGATTAATCTTTCTCTTCACACCCTAACTATACTTTTTAGTGTAGAACAATACCAGAGAACATATTTGGTTGAGAACTTACACTATTAATGTCATTACAGTTCAGTAGGAATACATGCATTGGCACATATACCGGCAATGATGCTATCTCTTTGGCCATAGCTTTGAGTTTCTCTATCTCTCGTACATAGTCTCGAAGATGCTGCTCCCGACTGACAAATTTCTCCACTCTGATATCAGAGTCATGACTCAAAAGGTAGGCATAAGGCTTGTAGATGGACTTGTACCTTGTGAGGAAAATGAACAATGTTTATTGCCAAATCCTCAGTGAAGATTGTGACTGGATAAAGGTGCATTACATGGTGTAAATACTCTACCTACCAAGCAAAGGAAACCTTTCCATGTCTCCAAAGTACTCTGACAATGTACATTTAGGAATGTGGCTGCAACAAATCATGACTTTCATGGCTTCACAAGTCTACATCACTAAATTTTATGGAATCAATCTTGAAAAAAGAAATAATAACAGAAACAAGCAAGCAAATTACTACAAATAATCAGCTGTCCTAACATAGCATCCAGAGCCTGGACAAATTACTAATATTTTCTATACTAATATTTTCTAATTATTGCAACGTAGTCAAAGATACAGGTACTTTAGAGGTAGTATATGGACAAAGATGGAAGACAGTGTGAAACTTATGCACAGGCCCTGGTTAAGGGGACTGACAGCATTGATGTATGCACAGGTTCACTACTTCATGAACACATATGTACAGTTTACTGACTATGCAACCATTCCTTCACTGTAATTGCCAAAGTCATCATGGCTATTTTCATTATCATCACTGTCAACATCTCTGCATCACTCACCTGCTAGGTCCATGACTGTTGCTCATAACAACCTTCTGGATCCGGCTCTTAGCAATCTCTACTAGCTCCTCCCCCTCCCTGACTGTACTGATGCTCTTTTCAGCCAGATTGTTCACCTTTTCAAAGAGGACTGTCTCCACTCTAGGCAGTCCCTGTGAGCTGCGGACCATGACGTAAATAGCCTCATGAAAGAGCTCTGTTGTCTTCTCAAACGATGGGGTGAAGCTGCAGAGGGTATCAGCCATGTTGGGTCCCTGGGAGGCCAAATTAAATTATAATATGTATGCTGACGTGAACTAAAAACAAAAGTAAAAACAAAACGCACACCAAATAAACCCAACAAAAAAACAAACAGGAATCATAAACAAAACAAACAAATAGAAACAAAGATAATGCTGACACCAATGTTACCAGCATAAAACCAAAATGCACAGGTTAGGTACAGTAGACACATCAGCACTGTACAGCATACATGTACATGGCATAATCTGACGGCGATCACATGTATGTATCATCTGAATTGTATAATTTTCTTCATCAGTATTTGCAGATGAAGGTGCAGGGAATCACATATAAAAGGACCGTCACAAGTGGTACTTTTCAAACTCTGCTGGTTTTCACACAAATAAGCAACTTACATCATATCAAACAAGATGTGTGATGGAAGCACACATACAAAAACACAAGGACATGCATGCATTTAGTAGGCCCTACAAATAGAAAAAGTAAGAACGATGTGGAAAGGTGGAGAAGCAGTGACCCCTGCAACAAAATGATACATTCCAAACTTTGATAACTCAAAAACAAGAAACTAGGTATTTTCAGGACTTATTTAACAAAGTTAGACTGTTCTTCATGCATAGATATATATTTCAATTTCATGTACATGTATTTATTCCAAGGTCTCAATGCACATATTTTCAGGGGTTACTGAAACCTAATCTTCTGTTGGACCATCACCAAGCTCCCAAGTGAAGGGCAGTCTTTGAAGGCAATCCATTTCAGCTAAAGTGCTTCTGCATACCGGTAATTAATACAGAAATCACAGATTAATATTTTGCACGTTTTCACCTGGCATGCCATTTAGACAGGAAAGTGCTGTAAACGAGAGCACTGTAACAAAACTAAATGTACATAACCAATGGAAAAGCAGCCATGGATGCAAAAAAAGAGCCAGAAGAACATTACTGGCCTATCAGGGAGCGCCGTAACTGGGATTTGCATGTGCGGTTGTGGGGCGACATTGAACATTTCCGCTACATCCATACTATACAATATTAACTAAATGAGCAAAAATCGGGTTTTTTTAATCAAAATTGGGGCCGGGTGGTGGCTCGAAACAATTAAGAAAAAAATCGGAATTTAAAACATCGAAAATTTTGATTGGCCGCCAGAAAGTGCCTCTGGCCAGGGGAGGAGGGACAGATGTTTCAATGGGGAATCAAATCCTACGGATTGTTAGATATGGCGGTCCACCACTCACGGCATTTGTTGTACGGCACACCATTAATCTTCCGCACGCATTCTGCCTTTCTTCTCATTGCAACAGCCAAGCTACATGTAGGTTGCTCCAAAAAGCGGCATTTTTGCAAATCTTTCATCACCCTGGGGCCATTTTCAGATTTTCATCACACCGGTCTGCATCACAAGACACGAGGAACCAAGGCAGAAAACGTAAGGCAAGTTTGAGCACTTTGAAACTGTTGTACCTGGCACGCACAGCCACTTTGGTCACAAAGACCCTAGCGGCCCAGTTGCGGAACACCCTCTGATGACAGGCACCGAAATCAGGACATCATCAGAAGACATGAACATATCAGAAACCTGACCTAGCTGTTCCCTCCGTCACCGTAAGACCTGGGGCTCTTAACACACATCAACATTGTCTGAGACCAGGCATGGAACAGACGAACCCACTGTGCTGGTTGCCAAAAACTCGGCGCCGTACACGGCGGGCACACCACCAGTAGAAGCAAGACAGCCAATGACAGCACCGCCGGCCATGGTGGCTACCTTGCAAATAGGGAGCGGCATAGTGTCGGCCCAACAAAAACTAGGTCTGCGACCACTCCAAGCCAGCATAGCTGCCCGTGTTGGAGGCACAAGTATAATCACGGCTGGTACAGCTTGGCCTGCGATGCAAGCAACTCTGTCAATATCATGCAGTCTGCACTTTATCCAACAGGTACCACAGGCTTGATGGCAACACAAGTCAAACAGCACAGCTAGGCAGACACATCAACCAGGGAGCACAGATGCAGCACTTGCCCAGCTTGGACCATGTACTATTCACCAACATAGCAAGCAAGGCGGCATGATGGGTCCCCAAATCTAGGTTATGCTGGCCCCTCGGTTGTGAACTTCACTTGTTCAACTGGGACCCAATGTCTGTGTTGTCTGGCACACTCTACTGTTAACTTTAATAGCGACATTGTTACCCTTACTAAATACCTATCCAAATATTAAGGCGGCAAAACTTGAGCATCAGATTCGCATCAGGGTTTAGGCTAGGCTTCAACAGGTCGAGCATAGCTAGGGACAACCCTAACCTACAGTTAGTCCAACAAAATTTAACTCTGGCCCTCAAAAAAATAAATAAGAAGTTATGCCCTGTACTGCTTACAGATGCCACAGTTCAGGGAACTAGCCCCCTGGGCAGCCAGCCGCAACTCTGAAGTCCCAACAGTTTTGTGGAGTTTCTGAACATGGAAACAATACCTCTGCTGGGGCTTCATTTTCCAACAGCACATGGACAGCATACAACAGGGTGGTAGAACAGTTCAAGCAATTCAGACACCAAGCTAGTCTCCTGCTTTTGTGGCCAGCACCAAGTAGTCACCATATGGCTTTCACTGCTTATCTGTCAAGATTTGGCCCCCTCCACAATGGGTACGCACCTTGCAGCAGTAGCTCACGTGCACAAAGTTAATGATTAGCCGGATCCCACGATCAATTTTCTCATCCGTAAGCTTAGGAAAAGGTGTCACAGATTAAACCATAACCAGGGATGCCAACTTTTCAAAATGAAAAAGGGTAATCCTATCACACTTCCAGTTCCAGTTTCCCAACCGACTCAAATTTTTCAGCACAACCCCAAAACTTTTCAGCGGCAAATTAGAAATTTTTTTTTTACATTCTTAAAATCCTGTTGCCTTTTCTTTCAAAACAAACACCTATCAACAACTTCTTTTCACGTAAGAACGCTTGCATTTACGTGACTAGCATCGTACAAGTGTGAATTGTAATTAATGCTGATAATATTTTTTATTTTAATCACTTTTTGTGGCAATTTTTGGCAACCTTCGTCCCATTCAATCAGCACAAAAAATTGTCAAAAATCCTTACCTACTGACCCTACTTAATCAGAAGCAGAGCTATTTTTTTGGTCTAACTAATGTGCTTCGTGTGTTGTAAGATCCAGCGTGGGCAATATTTATCATGTCACAGTTACATGCATTGCAAAACACATAACCTTCTCCATGACAAGACTTGGCAACAAAGGCCCATTTTTGTGGTGTATTCGTCCCTGAATTTCTGCTCACTTGTTGCCACAGTGCAAAACAACTCCAGTTGCTCACCAAATATCCAAGAATCAAATCCTCGAAAGTCCTCCACTCCAGTCAACTTTAGCACGTTTATGATGTTTGACACACGTGTGTATGATATCAGTACATGTACAATGCATGGACGTACACAGTCACATTGCATTTGAAGTGCAATAGTGCCTATTCACCCCCGTTTACTATAGCGTTAATTGGGGCGAACGAATGATTCAACGACGCTGGTTTCTGCCGAAACTCATGCAACCTGTATGCACCACTGCAGGAACCCAGCAACACATTTCTGACGTGCGCATTACAAGGCCGGCTCCGTGCTAGCTTACATTGAGTTTATACACAACTGTACAGTTTTGTACCTTCGAGTTGGAAATCGTAAAAATTTTGGTCTGGATCATACAGTGGTAAATGGACTAAACAAATCGTAAAAATTACATCTAAATCGTACAAGTTGGCATCTCTGCATAAGCCTGATACAAGACGACCCATCACAACTATCCTCTAAGAGAAAATATGTAATGTCCTCAGTGCCACCACGTCATCCAATAATGAGGGTGCACTCTTTGGTGCTGCCTTTTTGCTTGCTTTTTGGGGGGTTCCTGTGGGTGGGGGGAGTTCACCGCACCTACTAAGTCGGGGGGGGGGCTGCTCATGGATTTTAAAATACAATGTTGTCACCTTTATGGATGGAAAGCAGGCAGGGATGATTTTCTAAGACAGACCAACGAGGTGATTCGGTGGATCAGCACTTTTACAGGCAGCGCGACTCCATGCTCTGCCCAGTGAACGCTCAATCTCAGGCCCATTTTTTGTTCACTTTGATAGCTCACCACTTACCAATAATTGCATGTTTCAGTCCCGCCCAGAGGGTCTAGGCATGTCCCCTGTGCGGTTGAGCTGCCATGGCTTTCGAATAGGCACTGCTACTTCCGCCGCCCTTAACAACACCTGGGCCATTGGAAGTAACTAGCAGTTAACCTATACATTAGACCAAAGGAAATCTAGCTTCCAGCTATTAGCATGTCTTGCCCATTACCCCCCCCCACCTTCCCCCAGACACCTGCTGTTGCCTGTCTTCGTTCAATCTGTTACAGGACTTCAGCACATCTGGGTGCTGGGGGACGGTACAGTCTTCAGAGTAGGCCAAAGCCCACATGGACAGTCAGCCAGCCTCCTCACTTGGCTAGGGACTCGTGGTGCAAGAATCTCAGCATTAGTCCCCTCCATCCGCAGCCATCTAAGGCATGATGCTGAACTAGGCACCAATGATATTTTCACCACATCTCTATTACACGTGGAACAGCTACGTAGCCATGGTTCTTCCTCAGTTGATGCATTGCAATGCTGACACACATGTAGGAACTGTGGTAGACCATACCTCATCAAAACTTTGCAATTTATGCCCAAGCCTGCAACAGGACCTGTCCTAACAATGGAAAACATAATCACTGGAGAAATATGTGCAAGTCCTGAGAGCAATGTGGTGATTCAATGCATGGCTGACAACACCAGCAAGGCACACAAAATACTAACCATTGCTCACAATTTCAATAATGGTCACAACACTAATAGTCTCAATGTGACATGTACAGCCTCGCAGACAATGCATTACCAGGTGAAAACACTGATATCCATTCAGGCAGCTTATGCTACATATTGCGACAACAACCCCATCAAAAAACCCCAGTGTGTACAAGATTACAACGAGGGGACGAAGAGTGTGGACATCACAGACCAAATTGCTCATCCCGTCGGTCGGTCAGTAAGTCCACTGAGTGGTACAAGATGATGTTGTTCTTCCTGCTTGATATCTGCCTTGTGATACCTATCTTGTGCACAAGGAACTGGGTGGGTCTGACAAGTACTTGGCATTCAGATCTTCATTAGTTAGTGAAATATTCAAGTCCAGTGTACCAAACCTGCCTGTATATCAATCTAGAGGTAAACCATGCCATCTTCCTGGTCCTGGTAGACTGTCAGGAAGACATTTCCCTGCAGATACACCCTCAACAGGTAAACGTGCCAGGCCCTTCAAATGTTATGTTGTGTGTTCCAGAAATGACACAAGAAAGGAAATTAGGTTCATGCGTGGAATTTATGAAGTTCCCCTCTGTGCTGCCCCTTGGAACAAAAAGGCAATTTCTTTTATGTAAGAAAACATTGTGTAATGCAACCAAGAAAAAGTTACTCACTGTTCAGTGTTTTAGTTCATTTCTTTTATTTATTTTCCATTAAAAATAATTTTGTGAATCCAAATGAACATAAAAGTATTTCCTTCACCACAGGAATGTGGGAAAGGTCTGCTATTGATTATCTATTCCAAACAGTCACTAAATATGCAAATTTCCTTTGTGTATGATTCCATCACTAAAAATTTGATCAACTGTAGTATGCCCTCTAGTCCCATGATGCATAGCGGAACGGCTGCCACGTTCATCGTTCTTTTTCAGTATTAAACCATCCTAGCGAAAAGTAGGGAAGGATGGGAGGGAGGTGACTGTTTGGGGTAGGTATTCAATACCTGACATCTCCCACGTTCCTGTGGGGGAGGAGTCTTCTCCTTTCAACCTATCCCAACAGTCACTAAATATGCAGAGTAGTATTGATCCTGGGGGTGCGGCAAGGACAAACTGTGTTCAGAGAGTGTGTCAGAGGAGGATATAATCCTCAGGTACTATAGTGCGGACTCACCAGATCATGAAGCTGTTAGTTAGTTCCAGTGGTGGTCCGCTGTGCTGAAGAGTCTTTTTGCAATGCCATGACCAATATCAGGATAGCTCTTCCCTGTGAGGAGTCTCTTTCTAAAACATTGGTGGGGTAGCATGTGGTGAATGTTGACCAGGTCTTCCAACATGCCGCCTTACATATTTCTTCCACTGCAATGACTTGGAAATAGGCCCATGAGATCGAGACTGCCCAGATGTTGTGAGCTCTGAAAAGGTGTCGAGTCCGATTGTCCAGGGAATTTGGCCAGTCTGCCTTGGCAAATTTGATGCCTGAAACTGCCCACCTGGCTGTAGTGCCTCTAGTCCCCACTCAATATGGCTTTATTGTAGTAATGAAGAACTACAGCTTTATCTCTGAGTTTTCTAGTCCTAGCTAGGTACCATTTAAGGTAATGTCTGGCACAAAAATATCAGAAGGATGGAAGGACACAAACTGATTCTTGGTGAGGAATCCCAGTGCCAAAATGAGCTGGACACCATAGGGTTCCCATGAGATGTGGCCATCAGCAGTGGGTAACACTTTCAGTTCGCTGAATCCATGTGAGGTAGTAACTGCTAGTAGCATAGACCATGTGAACTTAGCAGGCACTGCACTCTCCACTGTGACCGAGCGTCATTAGGTAGTTAGTGTTGTTGCGTGGGCAACGCAAGTGCCGAGTGCCTGGTATTACGTTGGATGGGATCCAAATATCCCAGCATGAATCATGGCCACACAGAGCCGGGCTGTGTGCAGTGTGTGACCCAGCAAACTTGGCAGATAAGGCCTGATGGCCAAGCTCGGTGTCTGCGGTTGCCGTTAGCGAAACTGGGAAATTAATCCCAGTCAGCAGGCAGGGTGTAGTAAAAAAATCCCGCCATCAAGGGGTTAACCTTTTGGTAGGAGGGCGCTGAAGAAACATCTCTTGGGGGGAGTGTTTGAGGGCAGCAGTGTCGAAGACAGTCAAACCATCAGGAAAACCGTCATGAACAGCTGCAATAGCAGAACGGTAGTTCCAGATGGTTGACATTTGTAGGTCTGACTTGAACAGATGCATGAAGAAGGCAGCCACCACAGTCACAGAAATTTAGATCAGAGTAAGACCTCGTTCTGTACACCATGTAGTAAATTGTCATAGTCTGTTGTTGTGGATGATGCAAGTAGATTGGCGTCTACTTCTGGAGGCAGCTCATCTCTGAAAGTCCTACTGAGCGGGATTGTTTAACAATGGCCAGTAGAACAGGTGTAGGGACGCCGGATGATGGTAAAGCATGCTCAACGTTGGGTGGTAGAGTAGGTCTGGTATGGCAGGAAGGATAATTGGCATCTGCACGAGGAGCCTGGTTAGTTGTGGGAACCAAGGCTGGCGCGGCCAAAAGGGAGGAATGAGAAGAACTCAGCACCACTCCCGTTCAATCTTGGATAATATTGCTGGCACCAGGAATGTTGGAGAGAAGGCGTAGGCCAACATCCCTTCCCAGCTGATCTGGAGAGCATTCGTTGCCCAGCCTGCGGGTGGTAGTATCTGGTGCAGAACTCCAGAAGTTGGGTATTCTCAACCAAAACGAACAGGTCGATGTTCGGTCTTCCGATCTTGTTGACGACCTGTTGGACCACGCCAGTGCAAGGAGTCCACTCCGTCAAACGGATGTTCCCACAGGAGAGGGCATCTGCAATGAAGTTTTCGACATCCAGTATTTGGGTTGCCTAGAGATCGACGTTGTGATCCTGAGCCCACAGGAACATTTGTCTTATCAGGAGGCAAAGCCAAAGAGAACGTGTGGCCCCTGACAATTGATATACGATACCATTGTGGAGTTGTCCGAGCGTATGAGGATGCTTTTGCCTAGAATGCTTGAACGGAAGGACTTCAGAGCATTGAATGCAACCTGGACTTCCAAGACATTCATGTGACTCCCTCAGAACTGGAGGTCCCACATTGCCGATGCTCCCCCAGGTTCTTGAAGCCGAGGAAGGGTGACTCCCCAGCCGAGGCTCGAAGCATCCGTTATGATTGCTTCCAGCTCTGTTTTGGTGAAGGGAACTAGGGAAGAGAGGTGGCTCTTCACCAGCCACCACTAAAGATGGGGGCAGATGAAGTCTGTTATGGAGACAGGGAGGTTGATGGAATCCCATTTTGGTGTGTAGAAGGCTAGTAGACAAAGCTCTAACTGGCACATGTAAAGTTTGCAGAGAGGAACTAAGTTCACCATGCTGGCCATCAGTCCAAGAAGGTGGAGCTATGATTGAATGTTTGGCGACTGTTTAGGGTAGGTTGAAAGCAGAAGACCTATAAATCTTGTAAATAAATGAAGGGAAAAAGAAGAAAAGTAAATAAGAGAAGAAAAAGAAGAAAAGACGAGAAGAGTGAGAATGAAATACTTTGAGAAGTTTTGTCATTTTTTAATAAGTTTATTTTATATACAGTGTACATGTAATTAGGAGGAAGAGACTTTCAAATATTTATCTCCTATGGGGAAAGGTTCAAATCATATTCTTGCAAAGAAAATTCACAAGCTTAACTCAGGTGGGTCTCGAACCCACAACTGCCTCTTACTAGTACAGACGTCTTAACCACTCGACCACCAACCCTGCCAGGGTGGGCTAGCCGGTCCACGTCAGATGTAGCGGTGGGTAATGCAAACTATTTCAAGATGTACCTTGCATCAGAGAGACGTTAATTTTTAATTACAAAATTTACAAGCACACTATACTCAGTGCTCGACCGAGAACTTGCGAAAAAAATTCATTGGCCAATTGGTCTTGAACCCATGACGTCCTGCTTAGAAGTGAGTAGAAGGTGCAACTTTCTGTAGATGTTATAAAGCATCTTATAACGATAGTTTGGATTTCTGTGCTAAGTTATGGGTCAGACAGCCAAATTGGTTGGTGTCATCAGCAGTGTTTGGCATTCATATAAGCCCCCTCCACAAATTTCATTGCTTGGTCACAAGAAATTTCAGAACTGTTTCTTGTTACTGACATCATAGTATGACAAGTAATTCTACATTTAAACATAATACATACCATGAATATTGTGAATGGCTGTGGTAATACAGGTAATCTTAATGATGTCTGCATGTATTCCCCAACATAGTCATTGCCATCTTGGTACTGCTCCAACCACTCACACAGATCAAAGACAGACTTCTTTACACCGTCTCGGAGACATACAGACATTAGAGTAGCCACTGAGGAGAAGAAGTGATCCATATGGTCCATCCGAGCAACCTTGTAAATGTAGGACAAGAACAATTATTACATGTAAAAATCAAATGATGTGTACCATGACAAGTTTGATGACTGACTGTCTGACCAACTCACCAGCTGAATGACTGATTGATCAATTCTTAACTGAATAACTCAAATGACTAAACCACTGACTGATTACCTGGCTAATATAATACTGACTGATTAGTTCAATTGATTATCAATCTATTAACACTTTGATTAATTTATGGTGCACTAACTTCTTCCATGGCTGGCTTATGCACTGATGAACTGTATCCGTGCTGAGATATCTTTTTGATAAAATTTACATCACAGTTACAAATATAAATGTATGCCTTTACGCTCTATCAAGGATGCAACACCGACCCCCCCCCCGAAAAATCACTCAATACTGGATTTGGAAATGCATATCTCACCTCATCATTGGGCATCCATCGTTCTATCTCATCCCGATTCCTTTCAACAATGGCGGAACAGTCTGCTATCCAGTCATTAAGTAAAACTTCTCTTCCTCTAAGACTAGAGGCCTTAACATGACCGAGGAATGCATCCATGCTGAGTGGCATGACCTCTTTCAGACCAGAAGTATCAATTAATCGGAAACTGAAGTATCTGTAGAGAAAAAAAGAACAGAAACCACACCATATGAAGAAACACATGTACCTTCCTGTTCATAAACACTGTATACTCAGTGCCTGTCCGAGAGCTTGTGAAAAAATTCACAAACTTACTTGGGTGGGACTCCAACCCATGACCTCCTCCTTACTAGTGCACACATCTAAACCACTCTACCACCAAGCTTGCTGGGGTTGGCTGGCCACTCCAATTTGCATATACATGTAGCAGCTGTAAGCTTGTGAATTTTTTCACAAGCTCTTGGACAAGCACTGAGTATACAGTGAATATAAAATTTATGAATATACATTGGGTATTAAAGGGCAAATCCTGTAATTAAAATTATACATTAGGTAGTTACCTCGAGCTAATATGGGCACTATGTACGTAAGTATAGAATTCCAATGTGGGTACCACCCCCATGGCAATAGTATAATTGTAGAACTCTAAACAAATTTAGAACCAAAAATAACTAACACTCTATCACTTCTAATGGCTAAGTTTTAAAACTGGCTACATTTTAAATATCACAACAGAGTATACTTTTTCTTTTTCGATGACTGTGAAATTTGCTCAACTACATGTACATGAATGTAATTGGTAAAAAGGAAAAGGGAATTAGGAAAAAAAGTTGTGACTTTACAATCACATCAGAAGAACTTGTCATGAATGGCAAATCACAATTTTTTCTATCACTAAATCTGTCCCATAAACTGTAAAATAACTGCTTAGAAACTCACAACTCTTGTCAACAATACAACAAAAGTCAAAGCAATCATTGTTGGTTTTGTTCAGCTGCAGTTAAATATTAATAAGGCCTTTATGGTTCAAATTTGGATAGTCAGTGAAGCTTTTCAGTGGCAAAAAATCAACATGTACCGGTAGGTGACCAAATCCTAAAGTCTTTGCAGTAGCGCCCTCAATTAGTTATCAAAGTTCTCCTCTGCACTTGCATAACCCTTACAAAGCACCCAGACAAAATTCACTGTTAACATGTTCCACTTGTTTGTTCTTCATCAAGTGTTTCATGAATTGGCAGCTTTAAAATTTGTAGGGGATAAATAATCCACTCCAACACCCCCACATCATCACTTATGCCATATGTCTAGCATCACAAATGCCTACTTGCCAACTGTTTGCTCTTGAGTATTTCACATCAATACCTCTCCTACAATTGCTAAATAGCCAGGCAGAATCATGAATGCAGGAGGTACATGTATGCTATTCAGCATTACAACCTAAACTGTTTGGCAACTTGGTACATATTTACTCTATTTTACCATACTATGATGCACAACTTAACGGATACAGCATTATTTCTGTTCTAAAAATAGCTTAACTTGAGGTTCATCTGAAAGTGTTGCCTTAAAAAGGGAACATATTAATAATGATAATAATAACACAATAACAATATTTATTAGCACTGTGTGTGGTATATAGTGCATTTAGTAAAATCATAGTGCTGTACTATAAGTAAACAAAGTAAAGGAAAAAAGAGCAGCTGCGCAGAGCTACAAAGGCAAAAAAACAGAAAAAAGTCTTGAGAAGTTTACTGAAAACTGAGATACATGTACATGAAGGAATTTTGTTCCACTCCCTGGGCCCAGCAGTAGAAAAGGACATAAATCATAACATTTATTTGTCCAGGGAAGTTTATCATAATCAATGAGATGTACTACAAAATTTTCATTTTAAGTAATGTACGATTTTCCCAACACCAGCATATTTTCTAAGGACTTTCCTGGACATTTTAATGAAAATTCAACACTTCAGAATGACTCTGATGTTTAAAGTTGGATGTAAAACCTATTCAACACCGTTATGCTCACTTAGTTTCCCAGAGATAGAGTATACTGGTCATGACAGGGTGGGTGATGTAGAGCTGTGTTGCCATGAAACTCTTTGCTTCAAGAACGGCCTGTTGCCATGGAAACCACAGCCTGCCAGCAGAGTGAGAGAGTTTCTCTGGTAAGGGAATTCCAAGTCGCTCTCTTTCTGCAGGGTCTTTCAGAATATAATCCATGATAGCCTGCCGTATACTCCTGGTGTAACAAGACTGGACCTCCTGTGCAATTACAGAATAGACACAAGAATAAAGACTAGTTCATGCTTTTTCTGGTTCTGTTTGTTTTTTCAAAACCTCTCTTTTATTACAGCCAACAATACTGCAATGCTGCAACGTGTGTTTGTGTGGAACTAAAGTGCCTTTCTGCTGCATCTTTTAAGTTTTAAAATGTCCTAAAATTCAAGGTTTAAATATAATTGTGAAGGCATTCTTGAGAAAAAAAATGGACACAGCAAATTCCAAGATGAAGATTTTGATAAGCATTTCTAAGGACAACGTACCTTTGATTCCTAAGGATACTGTACCCGTAATCAACCTAGATATTTTAGCCCAACGTTAATTATCTCCCATTTTGTCAATTATATTATCAAAACAACATGATCCACTGAGAAACTGAAAAGACCTTATGAGCTTATATGGGAGGATTATTTTCATTTGTTTCAGGCTTTTCCTTTATAAAGCAATGTATAACAACAACTTACAGCACTGACATCTTTTAGACAGTGGATGAGATGTTCTACTTTGAGATGCTTGGGAATAAAGCGTTGGATACCCTTCATGCATTCCTTGCTGAGAGGTGCTATCATGGATGGACTAATAGCATTCTCAATCAAACTGAAATACCTAGGAATGCAAAAACACCAAATTGGCAAGGCTTTTGGGAGAACAGAACAAGCACAGAAGGCTAGTACATGTTTAAATGTACATGTATAGGGACTATGGATGTCCAGCAGTTAGCGTCAAACATTTAGTACACAGCCAGTGAGGGAATAATACCAAACCGGGCAATATTACTATCGCCACAAAGGACTGCACTGTAAGAAACTCAAGTGAACTTTAACACTCTGTAATTTACCAGTATACATCAGCAGTTAGTTATCTGCCCTTCAAATCCACTGAATACATCAAGTAACAAACTTTTTCAGCAGCTGAGGCCAAATCAATACACTGTCACTTGATTTTTCTTGGAATCTGTTGACTCTCTCTCACAACACTTTTTTGGCACTTCAAAAATTGTTTCAGGTGAACAATGGTATCTGTCCCTGAAAAGCATACTAAGAAAAATTCACAACGAATGGGTTAGTGTTTCAGTGGAAGTGAAAGCAAAGTTAGAGTCTATTTCCTTTGAGCACTTTTTTCTTTTTAAAGATCAAAACCTGAACCAATAACATATACAAAGTTGAACTGTGGACTATTTTCTAGGGCAATTGAAACAGGAAGATATGGAACAAATTCCTCCCTGTTCTTGAAAAGAGTTTCAGAAATGGAATTTCCCTTCCTATTTCATTGTGGAAATTACTTGGGTAGATGCTCCAATACTGATCAGCTCCACATTGAAAGTGAAGTAACATGTAATACCCTAGATGAAATAACAAGATAACAATACTATCAAACAGCATGCATGTACCACTGTACATACTGTCATGAAAGATCTGAGAATATAATGCACAGCAAGATTTTAAAAGTCTTTCCATTAAATGCTTGCTTCCTTTTTCTTTTCTTAAGCAGAAAATTTCTCTGATAGGTGACTCTGCATTTTTAGCCATTCAACATATACAGAGCTTAGTTTATTCAGGGGGAAAAAGGAAGAATAGAATATAATTCGACACCCAGAATTAAAGCCATAACTGCAGTGGCAGAACACTAGGCTTGGGCAAATCCATCTTGGAATTAGGTAGAATCAATTCCAATTTTGAAATCAGATTAACGATTCCATTTTATTTTTTTTTGAGGAACTGATTTGCAGACATGATCACTTCCATTCCCATAAATTCAAGTCCATGACGCTTTGAACAATTAAGAATATTTGGCCCAACTTGTATGTCCAGGATGATACCTTTAGGATGCAGCATCAATCAGACCGATTCAATGACTCAAACAACACCGTTAAGCGAACAACTGCTTAACTGAGCGCCGCTTTGAATTGTCTGCAGGTGCCACACACTGCGTGTACTATTGGCCATGCATTTTTAACACCTCAGTAGGCCCCACACTCACACGATCAACAGACACCAGATGCCCCACCTTACAGTGCTAGGCTGTATGCTGTGTTTTCTTTACCATTGATGTAGTAACATCGCGCACCACATTTCATGATTCTTACACAAAAACAATAAAGGCTAGCATCCTTAGAAATTATTCTTTGTCAAATTTGTCTTATTCTGTTTGATCAGTTCTGATTATTAGCCCCTTAATTTTAAATTTCAGATGTTTATTTTGCAAAGATCACTTGTAACCGAGTGGTATAAGGACTATCTTATCACAAACTGCAAAGGAAAAAAAGGGAAATACTCTATCACTAGAGGATAGAGAATTATCTCCTCAGACAAAATCTTTCCTTGAAGATTGTAACATAATACACATGTATTTTGCAATTTCCGGAATAGGCGAACAATTGCAGAAATGAGTATTCCTGAAGCAAGTCATCAATGTGACTTCAATGAGTTTGGATGTATTCATCCACCAATTTTGTAAAAGAAGAGGACTTCCTGTAAAATTGGTACAAAATCTATTGAAAGAGATGAAAATTGAAGGTCACAGTACAGCCCAACAATATTTGACACCTCAAACATGACAATAGGCTTGATGCACAACGTAGTCCATTTTACTTCATGAAAATCAGTTATAAAACATAGAATCACTAAAGGGAAAGGCATTACCAAAAGTCCACAACATGGGTGAAGCAGAAAAGTTGGAGCAAAACGAGCACTATGAGTGAATTAAATTGAAGTAAAATCAACAGCTCATTCCTTATGCAAATGTTATCCAGTGAGGACTGGACGTGGCTCCCTTAAAAGGGTTGCTATGGTAGCCTTTTGTTGATCTTTGAGATCACCTCAGTATACTTGGAGGAACCTCGGGAAGCTTACGTCTCCTCGGTGTTAGAAATGAAGTACTTTCATCATTTACTCCTGAAGGTATGTTGGGTATTACAACACCTGTACCTAATTGAGCATCTGTATCTGAATCTGATTCTTCCTCAGAATCAGATGTTGATGGAGTAGTGATAATTACGGAAGTTTTAGTAAGGTGTGGATTGCGTTTCAACTCCAAGAAATTCACAACTTTCCTCGGACCTGAACCATCTACTAGTTGGATTACATACACAAAAGACAAACTATCTGGATGCTCAACAATCTGGTAGACATCAAGACCATACTACATTCAATTTTTTTTTATTTGTATAAATATAAATTCTCTCACGCTTTGAGGCATTGTACAAATTGTAAATAAAATATTGAATGTAGTATTCGTGCCACCATATTCCCTGTTGTCTTCATTTATTTATTTATTTATTACTTTTAACTGAGTCCTTATACCATTCAGTTACACACTTTTGCCTTCAAAATGTGTCACACGGTTCTTATAGTCTTTGAGTTGTGAAAAGATAAAGTTGGAAGCTGGACCGTATTGATGCTATTCACTGATCACACATTTATTCCCAGTTGGTACACACATAAGCCCCCCCCCCAACTTGTAATCACAGAAGACAAAGAGGTGCGAACATAATCTTTGAAGTCAGTAACAAATGGATTTTTAAAAAGACAGCAATGCCACTACGGCTTTCCACCCCTGCAAGCATACATTTGCATGAGCGGACTCTTCCAAGTTCAAACCCTTGCAAAAATGTCCACAGATTCCTAACGAGTCACAACTGGGACAGAGACTAATGGCTGTGAATATTTACGAAGTAGCTGGTATGAGGCCATTTAAGTAAGAAAGTAGCATGTACATGTATGTTAACCAGTGACCACATGTCTACTATTGCTAGTGGCACTGGTGAATTGAGATTTGGAGCAAGTGGTTTAAACTGCAGGTATGGAAAAACATTGGAAAAATAAAATCTTATTTTTGTTGACTGATTACTTGCATTTTGACACGGGGGCTGGCAGACCTAACCGTAGTTCTCTGAAGGCTCCTGCATGTGGGGATTTGAACTTTATTTAAGGTATATTAATGTTCATTTCATTTTTACTCAATAGTCAATTTTAGTCAAAACCCATACAAGCCTTACAAGGAGTGCAAGTGGTTAGGAGGAGCTACTTAGGCTTTTATACCTACAAGCTGGATTTCTGTGTGCAACTTCCAGGGTGTAAAACTTGCTTTTTTAACTAGAAAATGTTTTTTGTCTTGATGATCTGTTGAGGGTAAACCTAAGAGATCTGTGCACATGACCTCTTCAAATAGATGCACATTATGCAGGGATAATACCTTACAGTAAAAATTGGGAGTCGATTCCAAGAGGAATTGGATTCCGAGATGGAACTGGAATTGACCCCAAAAATTCTGGATTTGTCCAACACTACTCAACACTCATGGAAAGGTAGTGCTCGCATGTTCCATGCCTCTCTAACCAATAGGGTGTTGTGACATGCCAAATGCATGTGCGTGTCAAGCTTAAGAACATGCATGTACATGTACACAGCACCGTGCCACTGCAGTTACTGCCTTCTCTTGGATTTGTCTACATAGAAATTAAATACACTACACGAATTTGCAGAAATAGGGAATTTGAGTGAAGCAGAGAAAATCTACAAACATGCTCGTAAGGGGCTAAAACAAATCTCTTATCTAGTTGGATGTACTTCATTTGATGTCTTTAACATCCCATATACATATTGTTATAATAGGTATTTATACATGTAAATACCTCTGACAGTCTCCCTATTCAACAATGTGCAACTTGACTGAGTATTAACATTTGATAATGCCTGCAGCATAAATTGTGTGCTGGCACCTGGATAGGAGACAGTTTAATTGATTTTGATTGGTCAAGAGTCCATGTGCACGCCACGTGCACGCCAAGTCTGTACATGGCAATTCTTTTAGACAAGTGAGCAAGGAATATACCAATGCATGGAGGTGTTCGGGAACATGAAAGTCAACTTCTAGAACGAAATCACTGGAGATTTATCAAATATTGCCTTCATTTGACTCTCCGACTGAAAAAGGTATTTATCTTAGCCTAATGTTTACAACCCACTCAGGAGAATGGACGCAACGGCTCGGGTAGTAGTCGTGTCCATTCTCCTGAGCTGGTCTTAAACTCATGTTTAAGACTGGCCAAGCACATATTTATTCCCTTATTACAATGCTTTTCAATTCTTTCACCCTGGGTCATCAAGTAAGTTCTCACATAATTCCTGGGAAAGCATCAGTTTCATCCACAAATACCTCCTAAATCAGCAAGCATGTTAGTTGGGACATTCCATGTTCATGTAGTTAAGATAACTTGGAGAAATGTTTAGATACCATTACGAAATGGTTTACTTTCAGTAGTTTCTTTTTGAAGTTGCCCATATAGCTGAAAGCATTATCGGAGATGAAAAAGTATCAAATATTTGAGATTCACCTGGGCAGATCTTGTTGCTCTGGTGTAGTAGGCCTTGATAGGCCATGGGTAGAGGTCGTATAGGGTGGGAAGACTACTTGTAAGACAGCTTGTGTAGTTTCATCATGGTCCCGTTGAACACAGCTTGGAGACTTGGGAAGAAAGTTGCCATTCACAAGCCCTGTGGGTTTGTCTACAAGGAAATATTTCAAAAACTTTTACAAGTACATGTACTTTAACAATGTATGAAGTAGTGTTACGATCCCAGTTGATCCAAATCCTTTTGTGTCTCCCTGAAAAGGTACGTGTGGAATTTACGCACGTTCCAAAAACCTATAAAAGACTCCGTAGTCATTGATTTCGCTCTCAGTCAGTGCCTATATGCTTTTAGCATGTGCATTTCGAAATAGCCGGCGTTGGGTTAGCACCTCCTTGTCGTCTACGCCTCGATTACTGCCGCACCGTAGCCAAGGCTGACACCGCTGAGGGACCGTGGACCCTGGAGCGTCGTGGCTCCATGTAGAAGCTGAATCTCGCGGA